TCTTGTACCATAGGTAATATATAATTTTTGTAATGGTTTTCACAGCCTAATTTCCCCATTTTCTTCTGCTGGAATTGTGTATATATTTTCAAAATAGCAAAGTTAGGAGTAGCTGTAAGATGTAGTACAGTTTGTTTTGCTGTATCTGCCTCTTACCATAATAACTTTTTAACAAATGTTTGTGTTTTAATAGAGTTGGGTTTGCTTGTTTTTAGCTGAATATTTGTTTATTGTCTAATTGTTCTCTGGCTGTCAAACTGGCTGCATATCAACATCCAGGCAGCTGGGATTCTGAGCAGAGAAAATCAGCACAGATTTCCAGTAGAAGTGCTTCAAATACCAAGTAGATATTAGCATACAGCAAGTTAAAGATGAACTCTGAATTTACATTTTCTTTATCTGTGCTTGGTGCAAATTGATCATGATCTGTATCCTTCTGCTTCTAAACACATCCTTTTCCTTCTTCTCTCCATACATTTTCTTCCCTTCTTCAGCTGCCCATCCTTTTCAGCCTTTAGGCAAGTCAGTTTAAACCATTTCTTTGCTCTTCGCCAGCACCTCTGCATATCAGATACCTCTACACCCAATATTACTTATCTGTATCTCCTTACTTGTATCTTCGTACTTTCTTACATTTATTTGCAGTTCATTCATACCTAGTTTCTGCTTGCAAAGATTTTATAACTCAAAATTGTGGTCTAGAAATGTAACTTCTGCCCATGAGCAGTGACAGACCTGTGGGAAGGATAAACTGGTACGTTACCTGTTTCTGACAGTTGCAGTTGCTGTAGCCTAGTACACTGTCCTTCTTCAAAACAGCTTTGTACTAACCATACTGCCTTCTCTGGATTTTCTGTCTCTGCTTGGATTTCTGAAAGCACATCCATGTTGGCCTCGCTACAGGTATTTGTTGTACACTCTGTACCCGCAGGAGGGTGGGCCAGCAGTCACTGTGAGAATTCAGGGGGAGCATTTTTTGTGCAAACTCTGATCCAGCTAGAGCACTTCAAAAACGTGATCCAGCGGGAGAAATGGTCACTGAGGCTGCTCTCCTGCAGGGTGTCTGCAGCTCAGAATAATAGCTCTCGAGTTATTAGCTGGTTTTGTTTGGCATTCATCTTCTGGAGTTACTGCCAATGTTATGTAGGCAGAAGAAAGTATAATACCACATTGATGAATATGTGTCATTTCCCCTTCTTTCCCTCAGAACTGTATAAAATAGAAGGGCATAATTAGAATTTAGGAAGTATAATGGATCAGGATTTATTTTGTGTTTTTCCCAGACTGAACAAATAATTTCTGTGTCTGATTTACAAATCTTCCAGCTGAGGAATGTACAGTTGAAACAGAATAAATATAATTTCTCAGTTGTGAGAATTGATCAGATTAGGAGAGAAACAGATGAGAAACAAGCCGTGGCCACAAGCAGGAGGAGTCAGCCTTCTCATGCACTGTGCACAGGCCAGCTGGCAGGACAGGTAGGTCCATGGGGTCTTGTGTGTCTCTACCATTCCTTGATGTGCCCTTTGCCACTGTGGTGTTTGTGGCTTCTGGCTTGTTCTTGTATCTAATCCACAAAACTTGAGTATGAGATTTGCTTGAAGTAAAGAAAAAGATGTTGAGCAGCAGGGTTCCTGCTCATAACAGTAATGGCTCTAAGTTAAATTTCAGACAATAAAGCAGTTCACACTAAAACATTACTTCTAGTTTATAATTCAATATTCCTGTTTTTGTCTGGTGGAAAAAGTACTTAACATTTAAACTTGGTGTGTCTTGTGTTGGCTTTGAGCATCTTAATGAAACATTCAGATTTGATAGAGGCTTGAATAGTTGATAGCATCTTCAGACTGGGAAGTTCTCCTGCCTCCCTTCCCCCATACACTGAATTATGTGCCATTATTTTATCTTCTTGATTATAGAGTATATTAAATCCAGAATTAAGACTGTAAATGCAACTCTTTTCACAATTCAGCGTGATAAACTATGTGATTTTGCTATTTAGAAGATTGTTTGCCAAGTATGTTACCACACTTTTTTCCTCTAAGCATATTTTCCAAGAATAATTAAGAAATAGCCATAAAGTTTCCCAGTTCATGAAAATGTAGTGGCAGATAGCTCAATGAAATCATACATGCAAGCAGAGATGGCAGAAGATGAGAATGGCCATATCAGGTGAAGCTGAAGGGTGCCGAGCCCATGTTCTGCCTAGGCATATGCAGAGGGAAAAGGTGGGTCAGCTGTGCATCAAGGCTACATATGTCTGAGCCAGAAATCCACGAGGGCATTGATGAGGACACTGAAGCCAAAGGCACTATCTGTGTGCTTAATCACCCCAGACACCTGTGTTTTGTGGGATTTTTTTTCCTTTCCTGAAATGACAAGATCACTGATCAGATGTAAGCTAACACCTTAGCAACAGCTCTCCACCAGAGTTCCCACAGTAGAAGGGATGCTTCCTTCTGTTGCTTTCCCTGATACATGACACTTTGAGAGGCTTGACTTCTTGTATCAAATGTCAAGTGATCATTTTCTTGTCATTTGCCTTGTGGCACTGATGATTACATGGACCTCTTTCTCAATCTTTTTTTTTCCCCAAGATTTCTATGTCTTGGTTCGTGTAGATGTTCCTCATACAGATTATTGAATGATACTTCAAAAGTTTAGAATAAAAAAAAACTTTTTTTAATGCAAAGTGATACTTGATTTTCCACTATTAATTAGTTCTTGTAGACTGGTGTAATGTTTCATTACCATGTAAGACAAAGCTACAGATATTTAATGACAATTTCAATCATCTATTTCTATTGTATTCTCTGGCAATATAATCTCCAAATTAATTATTCCCATGCTTTTGACTTCATTTTCATTTCACACATGGTCACAAATGATGCGTAAGTTGTTGAGCATGGAGTTAAGACACAAGACCTCATCAACATAAATTAGTCTGTAAATTTGTGAAATCTGTAATGAGTAATTTTTTCCAGTGATTGCAGAAATGTATAAGCATAGTTATAAATGCGTGGAAATATTCCTTGAAAGATATGCAAAGGTACCATAGAATTTCTGCAAAGAGAAGCCTTGCTTTTGTCTGAGCATCTCTATGGAGCAAGCAGTCTTACTCTGCAAGCAGGATACCGACCATTTGGTGCTCCGTACTTAGGAACAGACAGTGATGTTTTATCTTATTTTTGAGGTTTTATGTTCCTTTTAGAAAAATAGTCCTTCCCAATAAAATTGTGTACTTCAGTATTACGCATTACACTGAACATTCATTCCATCCTCCAGCCCAGACGCTAGGAGCAGTGGTCTGGTGGCGTCTGAACTCAGTGCTGCTGTGATTCCTTGCAGTGAGCTTCTGCTGTCCTTCTCCTACCCCATTCTCTCCTGAAAGGGAAGATTATTTTTTTCTTCTCAGGGGGAAAAGAGGGGAAAGGCATGAGGAAACTTGATGGCCAGCATAACAGGGATAACGTTCTGGAAAAGCCAGCCTCAGTGAGGGCCAAGGGGTGCTAAGGCATGCCAGATAGAAGGCTGGGAAATACGAAGGAACATAACAGCTACTGCTCTCAGTAGCAGACCAAGTGTGAGCCAGAAACAGATCAAGTCAACAGGAGTTTCATAGAATCATGTTATGGCCCAAAGCAGGGGAAGGTGATCTCCTTCCATCCTGAAGGTGAGTGATGCTTTCAGGAGGCAGAGAACTGAGGGAGAGGGCTCTCTGCTCTTCCATCCTGATTCCAAAGCCATGCAACAGAAAATTTGTTCATAGCAATGCCATAAGCTTTGGGTGGAGGATCTGCAGTGTTATAGGGAACAACTGCATGCACTATTTCAGCGATGGCTTTTAAATGCCTGATTTTGGTGAGGAAGATCCTGACCTCCCCAGCTTTAAGCAAGAAGAAAAGCAGACTTGAAAGCAAAGGATCCTTTGCTTGCAAGAGCCCAGGAGCAGCTTATCACTGAGTTAGAGTTTATAAGAAATAAGCAGTAAATTGTGTCAAATTTGGATGTAGCATCCTTCTAGGTCTGTAAGTCTCAGGAGAGAGAAGAATATTTTATAAAAAGAAACAAGATAACCTCAAACAGTGGTGTCACCAAAGAGCAACTACCAACATATTTGTGTATCCAGGAAAACGACTCCTGGAATATTTCCAAAATCACTTCTGGCTCTGTGTAAATTAGGAAGATGAATGCATATGCCCATGAATTGTTTAACTGTAGAAATGTCTTCTTTTCCTATATAACAGATGCACGAAAGGGAATGGGAATGTTTTATAACTTAGGGTTTTAAATAATAAATTAACGGCTTCTATTGTCAGTTTGAGAAGTTTTGATGTTTTGTGTGATGTGTAATACTGAAGTATTACACAATTTTGAACAATTTTGGGGGGAAGAATTATTTTTCTCTTTTTAAAGGGAATATAAAACCTCAGAAGTAAGATAAAACATCACAGTCTGTTTCTAAATACTTTGCATCTTAATAATGCTTGAAGTTCAGGCAGTAAGTAATTTCTGAGTTTTTCCCTTGAGCTGCGTAGTTCTTTTCATATGTAATTATTCTCTGAGTGCATTAGATAATGCTATGGTTCCCACAGCTGTATACACATCTATAAATCATTAATGAGGCAGTTAACTGAAACAAAACTATAAAAGATTTGCATTACCCGGCAGAACCCAGCCTTAATTGACTTCCAGTTATTTACAATTAATTTTTCCATTTGGAATAATGATTGCAAGTAACTTTGGGTTGGTTTTTTTATGACTCAGGAATTAGATGCTGACTATTCATCAAAAGTTTTTACAACAGGACTCTGTCAATGGACAGTAATGAGCTTGAGGTAATCTTATTTTTACATACTCACACACCCCCACACATTGGCAGAGGAGACAGGAGTGGGAGCAAGGGGTTTGTAGTAAAATGGGGACACGAATACGTGCTTCTTTATGCATTTTTTTAATCACATACCTAAGTTTTTCAACAATTAATTTCTTTTCCTGATTTCAGCATCTAGCTGAAAGGCAGCACAATGAATAGAGCTGGCTCCAGCTCAGGCTAGAATAAACTGCGTGCATGAGGAGTGAGTAAATATTTCTATCTTTCTATCCTAAAAGACTATAAAATAGAAGCTAAGAAATAAATAATGTAAAAGCTATTAAGTAAATATTAATTCATTATGCTATTTAAAAGATTACTTTTGTAGAAATACACTGCACAAAGTAAATCCTTGTTAGCTTGTCATTATTTGCAAGGCATAGGCATTGAGGCCGTGAGTCAGACTCTGGACATGCACAACAAAAAGATCTGCTCTCTCTGCCGTGTAAGCATAACTCTCATTGACATTAATAGGCTCTGAATGTGTTCATCAGGAAGAGATGTCATGTTCAAATTCCTAATAAAACTTAAGCCAAAAAGAGCCAGAGCCCATTTGCAGCGGCTGATGTTATCTTACATTATCTTTCAATCTTTAATTTTCAAAATGCCTAAGCAGTTAGATCTCATCAGTAGTAACTGCTGGTCATTTCTCTGTTTCTACATCTTAGCTGTAAAATCTTACATACTGAGGTGCATTCTATTGAAACCACTGTCCTTGGGAACTAGTCCTTCTCTGATACACAAGCAAATGGGACTTTTTTCCCCTTTGCTACGCTCGCTGGATACCAGATGCATAAATACATGGTCAGGCTTGTTTCTTTCTTCCCCTGCTGCCCGCTCCACGATACAGCTGTCATGCTAAGAAAGGAGAATAGACTTCTTTTCTTTCTTGTTTCAAAATAAGTAATTTCATTGTCCTTCAATTTATATTTGAGTTTCTTTCCATTTATGAAAATTGGCTAGGCAGGCTGCTCGGAGCGAGGAACTGAAACTAAAATCAGCAGTGAGTACAGAAAGGGGTGGCTGTAAAGAGTATGAGATGCTTTGAATTCTCTAAGTTTCGTAGACCAAAAGACAGACAGTGGTAAATGGGGGAGGGTTTAATTCTGAGCAGAGGTGAACTAGCGGCTGCTTTCCTCGCCTTATCAATAGGTGCCAGCAAAAGGCCACTATAATTGATCTAGAAAATGTGGGCCCCATGACAATCAAACACGCGTAACCTTGAAAATCTTGCAATCTAGTGCTGAAGTAATTTTTTCCCAGGTTATGTTCCGCTGGATTATGTTACGATGTGCAATGTGAAGTAACGTGACAAGACTAGACATGGGTCATTCAGTCTGTCAGTAATTCAGAGCCTGGCAAATTGGTCCTCCCTCTTCACCAGTCCATGAACTTCACAAATACTTTACTTATTCATGCTGCACCAGCTAGCTCATTATTTTAGCTGGAAATACCACTGTGATGTGTAAAATTTGAGAGGCTTTTCTTTTTGAAATCGGGCCGGTACAAGAAGAGCAAACTGTATTATTGTTTTATTATTAAGCTACCACATTCTGCCAACACACCACTGGTAATTACATTGCAAGTAATTGCACAGTTGATAAACTGTGCAGCATAATTTACGCTATCATTGTCTGACTGTGATCACGATGCTTCTTTTTGGGCTGGATTTCCTGGGGTGGAGAAAGGCCTACTTTGCTTCTTGTAAACTTAGATCTCCTATAACCTTTTATGCATGTGCATGCTACTGCTGTCATCACTGTTTTTTTTTTTTTCTCTTACTGGCTGCAACTATTTGATAATGAAAAAACTGAGAAGTCCACCAAATTCCGGAAAGTATTAAACTGATCCATGCCTTCTTTCTTATATGGATTCTGAGCAGTGTGTTACTGCTTGTCTTCAAAAGAGGGTAGAAGAGAAACCAAGGCTTAGGAGTTTCTTGAACGTTTTCTTAGAAGAAGCCAAAAATAATGTCCATGAAAATACAGCTTTCAGTTGGTGAAAAATTCTGTTTATTTGAAAAGCTATTAACTACCAAAAATATGTAATTTACTTACCAGCGCTGTTATAAATCAAGAATTTAGTCCTGCAGTGCTTCTCATCACAATAGCAGACGTCTCATTTTTCTGTGACTCCTTGCAGTGATACAAGCATGGCCTGGTTCTGATTTGTGAATCAGCTCTGTGAATTAAATACAACTGCTTTTCTCTTTTTCCTTTTTTTTTTTTTCCAAGTTAGTGTGAGCGGAACATATTAAATATTAGAAGAAATAAAGAATTACAATCAAGGTGCGAGGAATTCATTTTTTCCTTGGAATGTAATTTCAGTATTATACTACCAGGAAAAAGCTATGAAAGGAATCACTGGTTTTTCCACTGCTTTGCACGTTGTAGAGTCATTTCAACATGTGTAATATGGGTGTCAAATGCTAATAAATCAGCTGTCAAATGCTATCAAATACTTGCACAGGTGTAAATGATCACATAAAATGCAAAGCACTGATCTGACACAAAAAATCTCTGATTACCATTTCTGTCTTCATCAGTTTTATGGAACTATTAAAAGAACCCCAGTCCAATAGGGAGCTTATTCCTCATTATCCAGGTTACTAGCTTTTTTTGGTCTCATTTCCTACTTTTAGCAAGTTTGTCTTTCTTTTTTATTCCCATTTGACATCAAGAGAGAAAATGCAACAACTTAAATGGTACTGCTTTGGACTGATCTACTAACAAAAACATTGTTTCATGATTGTAAGAATGATGGAGCTTTTTTTTTTTCCAGCCAGAACATCTCTGTAAGTGCCCCAGCATCATCAACTGATGGCAGCACAGCTCTGGGAATAAACAGACTTCAGCTAATGGCAGGAATCGACAGGGGAAACATGAAACAGGTATTTCTTCTTCACAGACAGTGAAACATGATTGAAGTTAAATGCCACATCCTACTAGCACTGGAGCCAGTTAAATTTTATTCCTCATGTCTATTTATTCGTCTTTTTTTAAAAAAAGTTCATCTAGTTTCATTTAGTACCCATGTTTTTCCCCTTTGTATTTGGCACTTCTGTGTTGGTAGAAATGAAAACTCTGCAGGCACTGCATAGACTGCAGCCCCAGGGCTGTGCCTATGTGGTGATTCTGTGACAAACTACTTAATGTTTGCATTAGGCTGTATATTTGGAATGCACTCTTAATACTCCTGCTATTAAAGATCCTATATTGTAATATTCATTAAAAGAGAACTGTAATGCAACCATTATTAGAAAGAAACCAGCATTCACCCAGTGATTCAAAATCGCTGAGCGTCTATATGTTGTCTTATTTCAGTCTTCTATGAAAAATAAGTGTGTGTATCTCGTTGGCTGACTGGAGCCCATAATATTACATCAGAGATGGGCCAGTTTTGAATAGCTCTGTATGAACTTCCCACCTCTCTGGCTGTTCCATCACCACCATCTCTGATTCCCCACCAATCATTCCCAAATACTGGGCATCTACTTTTTTATTAGGGAGAGCAAGCATATGTATGGCCTTACTTAACTGAGCTTGTTGGTTTTTAACATAAACACTTTTAGATAATGACCTTAAACACTGAGGCTGTCCCAGCTCTGCTGTCTTTGTCTTAGAGGTAGGGTCTGCAATTAGCCATGCAGATAAACAGACAACATACCAGGAGCTATAAGTCCCTATTAAGCATGAAGATGAGCAACTGTATTTTAAAGACAGCAGAAGCATTTCCATGTCTCATAACTAAACTCTGTTGCAGCAGCCAAAGCAAAGAGCTGGAAAAAGGTATCCACAACCTTGTGAATGCACATTTCAGTGCCACTTTTGTGCAACTGATGCATGCATTTTCAAAGAAAGATATAGCATCAAATGTCTTTCTAAAAAGCTTATGTGCTATAAAAGATCTAATATGTTTAGGATGGTTTTGATGGTTCTGTGTTCACGTTCAGAATTTTGGATTATGTCAAGTCACATAATGAAGATACAGTAAAATCTTACTGTATTTCTAAATGAATTCAGCATAATCATTCTTTTTATTTTAAAAAATGAGCTCCAGTAAGACTTTTTTTCCCTTTCCTTTTATTACCACACTGCAATTTTCATGCAAAGGATGATCTATTAAGAAGCCGGTGTTAGCTGGCCATCAGAAGCAGAAATGGATGATGGTTTAATGGAAAGGGAGTGAGCTGCAGTATTTGTGCTGTGCTGACACTGAATCGGTTCATTTCAATTGATTTCTTTGAGGAACAATTATCAAAGTGCAGTAATTCATAATTTCTCTATAAATCCAGAAATTAAAAAATACTTCCTGTTTTTTTCTCCCCTTTCATCCCAACTTTAGATAGTCCAAGACTCCCTTACTTGCAGACAGAACTAAAGTTAAAGTTTTTATTAACAGTAATGTTACAAGGGCTTAAACACCTGTAGTACGCACAACAAACAACTACAGCACCTGGCCAGGCTTAACAAAACTGCAGACCCCTCCCCATCTCGCTGCCAGGCAGCAGGTGGTCAGCTGCTGGGCAGGGGCAGGAGGGCTCTGTGCCAGCACTGCTGCCAGAGCTCACAGCCATACAGGGCAATGGGGCTGCGCTCTGACTCACATGTGCACACACATACACGTGCACACACATACACACCACACACACACACACACAAGTGGTGGTGGAGCTCAGCTGAGGCCACAAAGGAAATTCATAACAATCTGGGTTAGCCCACGTTTTGTCATGTTACCAGAAATATTCTGTAAATAAATATATTAGTCGGCCACTTACTTGCAGATAGCGATTACTTAAACCAGCATTCAGCTTTTAATGCACTGCCATTCATTTGTAACAGGGAGCGTTCTCGCTGTGTATTACTATAGATCCAGGTTTTAAATTGAGATTGGTCACTATTGATTCTGTTGGTTTAATGATGATAGCAGGCTGCATTACACAAGATTCATAAAATTTCTGATATACATGGGCCATTATGGTGCCTGCATTGAGCTGGGATCACCTTGTGCCCCACTGCTGCTGTGCCACGGGGCTGGGGGCTGTGCTCAGACCTGATGGGTCCTATGCAGAGTGGTCCTACTACCAGGAGGTGATAGGAAGTGAAAGGAAAAAAAAAAAAGAAATCTTCACTTTTCTAGGAACTAATCAGTCACAGCTGGCCACAGTTGTTGCTTGTTTGGGTGCTTAATACCTTCCTAAGTGTTAGTTACAGGTATGCTTGTTAGTTTCAGCTTGCAGCAGAAAGCTCATTGTCTTGGTTTGTCAGCATTTATCAGGAGCTACCTAATAGGACTTAACAAAAGATTCACTCTCTGAAGTTTATCAGTTCCTTAAATCTCATTTACCAGTACTTTGACATTTAAAACTATTCTGGGAAGGGCAAATTAGAAATCAATGATGTGCTCATCAACCCTGCATCAATGCAGCTCTAAGAAATGTAGATCAGTCACTGAGGGAAAAAATGCTATACGTGCCTTTCTAGAGACCAAAGAAAAATGCAAAAATGTGAACAGTTCAAAGGCTGAAATATTTAGTTACATTAAGTCTTTCTGAAATGCAGGATCTTGTCAAAGATCTGTCTTCAAAATCTGCAATTCCAGCACTCATTCAGTCGATCAATCAGAAATGATGCAGTGTCCAAGGAATGTTTTGTTTTTTAAAAAGATTGAGAAATATGATCTATCAGAGGATGCTGATGGAATAGAAACTGAAATTAATAAATAACCATAGAATTCAGTTTCAGGTGCTCCAGCATTTTACTCACACAAGCTTTTGTTCAGTGCTGCAGCACTCACCATTTGTGGAGCTCTTCATATCATTCATTTTTGGTCATTTAATCACTGACAGTGTGATTAATGCAGTTATTAGAAAGCTTGCAATACAACTAAACCATGTTTGTGCATTATAAGACACTGTGAACTATTCTGATAATTATTTTGATCACCTGTAAAATGGAGCTGGGCATGTTTTTTGAACTCAGGCCTGGTTAAGCTAAAAGGTTTCTCTGAGGGATCAAGAATCAAATTATTTTTTTCTGCTGTATTCTATAGCGTGGCTTGAAACTACACGTTCAAAGTTAGAAAGTCTGTTAAATGGGACTCTCTGAGAAGAAAACCTAGTGATGAAAAACTGAAATTTTAACATTGTAGGTATATTTGTAATGATACACATTTGGTACATTTCCCAGAGATCTATCTAGTTTTCTTTGTTTTGCTTTGTATTACGTGTCAGTGGTTGAGTTCAGGGTGTACAGGACATAAATATAAGCATGCATATATAAACTTGGGTTTGTGAGTAAGTACTGTTCCTTTGAGCCATGAATGAATAGGTGACTACTTAATTCCTCTTGTCTCAGTCACCTATTTTATGAAAGGAATATTCCTGTTACCTGCAAAGTTTGGAATCTGTAATGTAAAATAATTAGGAAAATGTTTCATACCAACCCACCCTGTTTATTAAGTAATTTCTTCAAGTATTTTTAATAGTGCAAATTATTGTTTTGCATTAGTACAATAATGATGGGAATTCACAGTCCAAAAATAAAAAATCTTAAAAGATTTCCAAAGTCAAACAAAAAAATTTTAATACTGTATTTTAGCAAGAACATTTTTAACAAAGAATGTGTACTTTAACTTAATATGGTACAACAGAGAAACCATACTTAAAAGTTTCCATTATCTAACACTCTACTGCATATTCATTTTTTCATCTTAAAAGACCAAAAGCCAAGCTGAACTGAGCATAAAAAAGCATCAATTATAATCCTCATATTACGTCAGCTATTAGGGTTTAGCTCACACTTCTGAATTGGTCATCTAATGAAAGGACAATTTTTACATCATTCTTTTAAAAAATGTACACACATTTCTTTTTAAAACGTAATATATATCGAGTATCTGCTTCAGTAAACAAAGCTTAATTTATAAACACAATCGAAACAGCTCCATGTTGAACAGTTTCAGTGATAAACTGGACTTGTATGATGTACAGCCAGTGAGGACCTTTGTGGCTTAAAATCATTGTGCCATTGCTATACAGTAATAGCTACCTCCTTAGGAAAACAAAACAAAACAAAAAGAGTTCTTTGGGGGTGGGAAGGGGAAATAATTCCTGTATGTGCTTAAAAATACTAAAACTCCTTTCTATCTCCGGGGACCTAAAAATGATCTGTTGCAACAGGCTTGGTTTGGTATGGTAAGCTTGTAAAAAGTCTCAATATTTCTTAATGACAATACGGCAGTTTTCGATGCAGCAACAGTAAATTGCTTGAAATTGTCCTTCAAGTTTCATGCTACAAATCCTGTTCCTCACACAGTACTGAAGGCATCAAAGGTTGGAAGGGACATTTTTCATGAACTATATAGTCTTCAAATAGTGATCATTATACATTTTTCAACAATAGGTGTTTCCTTCAGTACATGATGGTAGGTTTGATGTATGTTCTGTTTTCTGTAGGGAAAAAAAAAAGGAAAGAAGTCAATTACAGAGTTGTGCATTTTAGAATTATTTGAAATGTAGGTGGATTTCCTTCATAATTTGTGGACTTTTTTTTTCTCAAAACAAATGATCAGATCTACAAGTGATATAAACCGAGTACAAACTGAATATGTTTTTATGGAGGCATCCAATGACAAAGCCTTGAGAGCCCCCAGTCAGCGAGGTTTGTGTTACGCAGACCAGTGAGCCCACTGCCCACCTCCTGAGCCACTTGTTTCCTGGGCTGCTCCCAGCTGCCATTTGCTAGAAGAGGCTGTAAATATTTTTATCTGCATTTTTGTCTTTTGTGACGTTGGTTTTTTTAGTTGAACACTGTCTCTTCTCAGAAAGCAGTTGGTGTTGTACTGTACCTCCTAACACAGGGTAGTGGCATCAGCTTTACAACATATCATTATTATATGAATAGAACCTAGGGAACAGTGTGTTAGAATACAACTGCACTGCATTAAAAATATAATAGAAGTAAATTGATATCTGTTTTTTGGAAAACTGTTATTTCACTCAGAAGCCTCCACTTCTCTTTTTAAATTATTTTTCTTTATTTAGGGAAACAAGTAGAAAGCTACTTCCATCTTTGTAAGACTATTCCTAGTTATGCTACCTATCAACTGTGATTTTTCACATTAAGCAATGCTAAGTCCAGAGGAAAAATAAATATGCCTAGAGAAACTACAGCTAAGACTACATCTAACAAGAATCCATATTCTTGTTCATTATACAATGAATCATGAATTCACCCAGCTAAACTCGCAAGTACTGATCTTGAAGATGATAGCAAAATGATAATATTGAGAAGCATTTTGTATAATGTTGACATCTATCCCATTACTGTTTTACATATGCCAATACTGAGCACTCATAAGGAAAGAACAAGTATTGACCTGTTAACTGACACTGATCCTTGGAGCAATCTCAAACTTTGCCACATTTCAATTTCAAAATGCATTTCAGCTGTAATATGAGTGATTTATCATTTAGCAGTAGCTGTCAAAGTAACCTCCTAGATAAAACAAAAACATCTGGAACCATAAACAGAGGAGAGCAGTAGCTGAATTTTAATCCAAATCCGACATGTTCACTTCATTAAGAACAGGAAACAGCTAATTAGTAATTGAATGTTTCATGGTTTTAAGGAGGCTCAGACTCTCCAAACAGAGATGATTTAATATGTGTTTTGGATGTAAACAAGAATAAAGATCGGAAGAGCCAGGGACATAACATCTCTGGAGGAATGTTTGGAAGCATGGGAACCTCCAAAGAAATGACTAAAATTAGCTTCAGGCCTTTGGCTGATTAAAATTATTGTCTTAAGATTTACTGTGGCAAGTATTAAAGCCTGGGGAGAGGGGTAAGCAGAAATGCACAGACTGAACATTGTTGTGCTTTTTTTGTTTTCTGCTTTTCCTTCTGGTTATTAGGAAGTTCCTTCCCACAGCAGGCTATAGGTGATGTAACTTACATTAGCACTGTGCTTCTAAATAAAGATAGCCACTGGCAAAACCTGCAGGTCAACGTGACTGCCCCCAAAAAGTCAGAAATACTCCTTATTGCCAAGCCAAAGGCTGACATTCTGCTGGAGTGTGCTTTTAGTGAGTCAGTAGTTTAACAGCTCTGGTGCTCTGCACAGAAGCAGTCGGAGCACTGAGCTCTGAGCAGCTGACACCCACAGTGCTGCTCTCTTTAGGGTCTGAGCTCAGGAACCAGATCTACAAAAAGGTCCCTCTGCCTAAGCGCTCATACAGGGTGGGACTTCTTATAGATGTGCTTAGCATGTTCATGTCATACCAGTGGAAGTCAGCAGGGATTAGGGATGTAGCTTTGCTAAGTGGCCACAAGGCATCTGCAGCAGCTCTATCTGATGTTGATACTTGTACAGACGGTGATGGTGACTGTGCATGTGTGCACATTTATGTTGTTCCACTTGCTGACAAGGTCTGTGCAAAGATAAGCTAGGCATATTCCAAGAGCTGATTTATCAAAAGTGGGAGAAGTAAGGAAGGCTATGATGAAATCAGCCTCTGTTCTTCCCTACAAATATTTTTAAAATAATTTAAAGTATTTCTTTAATTTCATAATAAAAAAAGAACAGTTTTTACAACCATGAACACAAGTTCTCTGTCATAGAAGGGAGCAAATTCACAGCTGTTACAAAATTCTTCATTTAGCCACTTGAGAAACTACATAAACTGACAGGATTTAAGATAGATACAATACTTAGATTCTTTGCCCAATCTTTTGCAAATACTTTGCATAGTTAATCCCTGCCAAATAAGATGTATTTGGAGATCAAATGTAACACTGATTCAGCTGGCTCTTCTCAAACACAGAGAGGGAGGGGAAGGTGTGAAGCAGCTGATACCATGCTCAGCTGGATGGCTGGGTCAGCAAAACCATGTGTTGGCTTTGGTCATTATACACATGAATAGATAGAGCTCATCAGACCATTAACAAGCCATAGGAACCCACAATGCTGTGACTTCCTTCATGCTGCCCAGCCTGGCACCCCTCCTGCTGCCCAAAACTGTGGGAGCCCTGCCTGCCTCACCCCGGCTGTCATCACAGGCTGCTTACTGACAGAGCCGAAGTCATAGCAGGAGACTGCAGAAAGAGAAGCAGTGAATTATTTGGACTATTGTCATTAACCTGGCTTGTGATGTAAACCTGAAGCTTAAAAGTTACCTAAAACTAAACGTCATGTTTTCTAATATAACATATTCACGTTTTTAAGTATTTTATCTTTCAAATTATTGATCAAACTATGCTAAGAAGTGGTTGTTAAGATAACTGTTGGCCCATGGACCATTTAAAGTTTGGAACAAGTCTAATTTTTTCCCCTTTATTTCTTAAGGAGAGTTCAGTTGTAATACCTGTAGCACTTTTGTAAGAGAGAAAACAAATGCCAAACCTCAAGCCAAGAAATACTACTGATTAGTAAACAGAAAACACATGGTTAGATATTTCCTTTTTTTAAAGCTCTCCATGACATGCCAGAAGTCAAAATGCATTTTTGTTGCTGCACCATAAACTGAACTCCATGGTGTTAACAACGTCACGCAGCAACCACCTATGAGAAATTACAGTGTCAGGAGCATCTGTGCTACCACTTCTACATGAATGACAACGTGATGCTGTCAAATTCATCTTCTTAAAGAATATTCCCCATCTCCTCAGTGTAGCTGACTGCAAGCTACATACCATTTTATAGCATTTTACGGTACTATACAGCAAAGATTTGAATAAATCTGTGTGCAATAAATGTATTCTTTTATTAGGTTTATCCCTTAATCAAATATTCATTTATGTGGGCTTCATTCTATTAAAAAATGAAATTATACAAAGGTGAGCAAAAGTGTAGATTTACAGTAGTTTAAAGCCTAATCTCATCCTCTAGGGGTAATATTGACAATATAAAAACTGTATAAATGATATTCCCTAACACTAAAATATGCTTATGAGCCCCCTGTGCATGTTATACTGCTTTACAACCTACAGTGAAATGCATGACTGGCTTAATAAGCAAGACATTTAGAAAGGATTTTTTTCCCCTTCCCAATGTATAACAGGAGTAAAGATCTCACAATCTCACTGTAGGCCAGAGCCTGTGTTAATAATTGTAATTCTCCCCAGGATGAGGCTGTCTTCCCTGAGTTGTTGGTCCGGGGTGTACATGCATCTCTTGCACTTTCCTTTAGCAACAACACCAACATTTGTCTTTCTCTTTGAAGGTTTTAATATCTGTATAACAGGACAAATCCAAAGCAATAATTATCATCTCCTTATTTATTCACATTTTTCTTGTTTCTTCGTTTTCTCAGCTTATTTTTCCCCTTGCTCTCAAGACAATTTGCATGCATATTTGAATTTCTGGAATGTTTTGTATGGCTTTGTGTTATCTTTAAGTGAGTAATTCACCTGTATTTTGATAAAAATTATTTTAAAACAGAATTTCCATGTGTACTCTTACAACTTGCATTGAGAACCGTGCCCTGGTGATGCTGGTGTGAAAATCCAGGCCAGGAAGGGGTGCACAATGCAGCCAGCCTGCTGTGATCTAACAACACAGCTAGAATTTGGGATTGTTCATATAATTTTAGCACACTTAGTTGGAGGAGAACATCAGTGGATTAAGGAAATATGCAATGTGCTCCATAATGAGAGAACAAGGATAAATGTGTTGTATCACTAACTATAAATTATTCATGCTACTTCTAAAACGAAGACAAGCCCTACATGTTGCAAGAAACAAGGACAGCAGAATCCCACTTTGCCAATTTGGATCAAGAAGTGGGGAGAGCTGTTAAAGGTTGTGTAGGGCTGAACCAGGGCCGTGTGCCTGCAGATGCTGGCGAGCAGCAGGAGGACGTTTGGTTGCTCAGCAGCTCCAGCTCTGCACGGCAGCTTGAAGAGTGGGACTCATAGCCTTGGTGGCACAGGGAGGGGGTTGGACATGAGCTGAGCAAAATGGAGCCAGCATTTCAGTTAAAGCAAAGCCAGGTTGAGCTCTGAGTGCAGCAAAGAGGTAGAAAATACAATGCCAAGACAATAAACCTAATAGACAAAGCTGCGGCTGGTTACTTTAATTCAGTTATTTTCTGTGCTGTGACACTCACAGAGGTGTGGTTTTTCCCCATCTTACTTCATGCTTAGGAGTATTGACTTGATTCTGTCAAATATTTTCACATTAACATTAATAGATCTAAAAATTTGTACCGAAAGTAGGACTTCTAATGAGTAGCAACAGCCAAGGACAAGAATATGTTCACTGAATACTAACTGTGCAGATGCTGGATTGCCACTGTCAGTGTGGGTAGGAAGGGAGTTAACACAGTGGTTCCTGCTGAGGAAATATCCAAGCCTGCTGACACTGAGTTATTGAATAAATGTTTGAGCCCTCTGTAAGAAGAGAAAGGTAAGGGCCTTCACAGCCTAGTCTCCAGGGGAAACCTTTCCTCACCTTCTGTTTTCAGTAAATCACAATATCTCAGCCTCCTCCATCTCATGAGTGCATACCGAGACAGAGATTTAGAAAAAATATTGTGCAGCAGAAGTACAGATAGCATGGAGAGCGAGATCCATGGCACTGTTACTTTGCAGCCCTGCATTTGCATTACCAACAGCAAGCAATGCAGCCTGCACTGGGATCTCACCACAAGTAGCACGGCTGCCTTTTGGTTAGCAGCTCGTGGGATTGCTCTCCCTTGTGCCTGCAGTGCCTGCACGGCTATGGGAGTCTTGTCAGTGGGTGCTCATTATTCCAGGGTGGAACAAGAGAGGTTTTCTAGAAAACACAAAATGACAGAGCTCAAAGCAGCTACCAGGGGATCACTCATTCAGCCAGGACATGCATTAGAGACAGAGCACTGGGCAGGAGGAAAAAGAAAAGATCTAAGCCCTGCAGAAGCCAGGAAAGGATTTGCTCACAAGCAAAATACCAAGCCTCTATTAATCACAGTTTCTAATCAAATGGCTCTGGTCTGCCCTCATGTAAAAATTTCATTTTTTCTAGAGAAAGCAAGACCAGGATAACAGCACTGTCACTTCAAGATGTGGACACTGTCTCCTGCAATGGAACAGCAGAGCAGGGCTGGTTTCAACGGATCACTGCATTTGAAGGTATATTTTGATAGAATAACCGAAGTCAAACCTTTTCAAAATCACTACCCCCCCTTCTTTTTTTTTTTTAGCTCTTGCAACTTTTTTTTTTTTTTTAAACTTTAGGCTGGATTGAAAAATAGGTTGGTTATATGCGAATATTAAAAAATACATAGCTTGTTTTCTAAATAACAGAAATAAAATATATTCTAGATTTCGACAGTCCTCCATCTTTGGCAAACAGATTAAAAAGTTATTCATGGCTACCGGCAGTTTTTGTGCTACCTCTCTGCCAGGCTGTTTCACAGACAAAAGCAGCTGCAGCCCTCTGACTCTCCCGTCACAGAGCCACACTTTCACCTCAGGAAAGTCCGTCCACCTACACTGCTGCCTCATTCTTGAAATTTAGAGTCTTTTAGTTTTTGTAAATTGTTATCAGCAAGTGTTATGGTAACGTCTATTTTTTAGAATTTTAAGATAACATTGCTTTGCTGATTGTTCCAATATCCCCTAACAATGAAATATAGTAATACAAAAGTTAACTAAGGTATAAACATGCAAAAGGAGAAGTCTCCCTGCGATCATAAAATGATGTTATTTTCTGTTCAGCAGTTCATGTTACTGCTGTTCATGCTAATTAATTAAAGGAGCTGTTGCTGTAATGTGCAAACAGGGAATCTGAGAAACTGAGAGGGCTTTTAGGTCTCGGAGTGAAGTTAAGTCAATCTGGGCGCGGGCAATCAAATGTAATGAAATCACTTGTCAGTGCTAAGCTTGCAAAAACTGTGAAGTTTGACTAGGGAGTAAAAGGATTATAATTAGATTTCCAATAGGATAATAACTAAATGGCAGAAAGCAGTAAAGAGAAAATATTACTTTGTTAGCTAATGGTGCTGCTGTTCGGTTTTAGTTTTTATCAGCACACTTGTAGTTGTACTAATTTAATTTGCTTTTATCAGCAAAAATGCACTACTCGAATGGTACTTGAATGTCATTTGCAAAAAACATTGATCTGAAGGTGCACTTAATGACACCCAGTATGTTTATTTTATGTGAAACGGAGATTGCTTGATAAAATGGTTGATGCAGTATCTTCCTGGCCCAAGAGTGAGTTATGGAAGCAAGAGCAGAAGGTATCAGTGCATGCACTGCCTGCTCCTGCACCACTCAGCTATGCAGGGGCTGTCAGACTACAGCAACTATTTCTTTTCTATTTGTCAGCTAACAGGGCCCTCTCAGATTGAGCTGTGCTGGACCAGAAGCTCAGGGGTATGGAGGACAGAGCTACAGACTGTGAAGTTTGAAAAACTTTTAGCCTTGTCAGCACAAAATTTCAGTTCAATTAATACACAGAACATAGGGAAAACGAGTCTACTAAACGGAAGAGATTTATAACGCATATCAGAACCTCAGAAAATGAACAGCTTGTGTTAATAAAATCATTTTAAGAAATGAGCATAAAATATGATATGACTTAATCACTGTGCAGTATTTTTGCAATTTTCCTTTAAACCATCTTAAGGAGATACTGGCAGTGAAACTAATTGAATTTCAAAGGAAAGGCACTGTGTGAATGATAGATTTCTGTCCAACAGAGTTATTGACAACAGAAAAAGAAAGGTCTGCATTGACACTAAGGCTTTTTTCTGTGCACTAGAGAGAGATTCTGGATGCTTGGAAACAGCTTTGTATTAGGGACACGTGTTTTGACCCTTCCTCCTCCCAGGGCCCAAAAAACAAAGGCTGTAAATGAAGGGGGCAGTGGAGGCAGTGTATTCAAACTGTTAAGACTTCAGTAAAAGAGTTGCTGTCAAGTTTCAGAAACTGTAAATCAAAGGAAAACAGAATAAAAAGATATTACAGTATCAGCATAAATAAAAATGAAGGAGATGGTGCTAAGGAACAGAAACACTTTGAAACCTAGACTGGCTCTATATAGAGATCTTCAGAAAGCTTTTCTATCAGCTGAGAGTGCTTAGTGAAAGAACTGGATAAACTCATCACACATTTACATATCAACAGCATTACCAAACTGAAATTGTCAGAGAATCCTGTGTATGCTGCCATTCATGGCCATGGTGAAGACAAGAAATGACATATTCTGCTTTCGCAGCGAGGTACCAAATGCAGAGATATTGAACATAACCAGTGAGCATCCAGGTCTCCCTTGGTTCAGGCTTTTGACATGAAAAAAAACTTTGTAACCCAAAGCCTTTTAAAACTGAGATTTAAGGGAAAACAAAAACAAAAACAACAATCAAACAAAACAACAACAACCAAAAAAAAAAAACCAAAAAAACCTCCCTGAAATTAAAATTCTAAGATCACAGGGCATTCTTCTTTATCAGTAATACACACGAAGTGAGAACAAGTTCTAAGTCCTTCTGTAAGTAAATGGCTATTGCAATTGGCTATGCGTCACTCTCCTCACAGTTATTTATACTCTTTTTTAATAGAAGACAGATTCGAGCCAACTGTAACTTTTTTCTTTCTTTAAAATTAACTTCCTTTTTTTTCACTAGATTCTGTCCAGGTACACCTTGGACTCACAGAATCTTTTTGGAAGAGCACTGAGCGCTTATCTCAGCAGAGCACTAGGAAACAGTAGGAATCATTTGCATTTCAAATTAAAATACATGTCCTGAGTGCTTATCCAATATTTTGACTATTTCTGGCAGTAACAATTTTCAAACTGCAATACTTAGAGCACAACTCCAATCATATGTGTACACATACATGAATATAAATATATGTTGTATTATATATGTATATATGTAATTTTCCTTTTTTGTTACGTGTAGCATATGAACCTAAAATCACAAAAAGCGACGGCAGTAAAAATATTTGAAAGCTTTCCTGTATAGATGACAGATGGACAACAGATGCATACCAGAGGTATGCAAAGTCAAGCCTTTAACAGTTGACAAATGCTAAAGGTTATGTTTCTATCTCTATCTGCACTGGTTCTAGCAGTACCTAAGATAGAATTCTCTATCAGATATTCTTGTAATACCCTCTGGTATGTGCACATCTATTTAAATGCATACTAAACATTTCTTTTAAGCCTTCTGGAACTTTTGTCTCGCTAAATTTGCCATCTTGTGATTTCCATCACCTACTGTTTATGTACTTTTTGAAAACATGTATGATCTTGAAAGGAAAGCAAGGATCAGAAGTGAAATATTTTAAAAAGATAAATCATTTGTAAAACCATTTTTGGACTAAGCCTGTATATCTAAGTATGATAAGTATCTAAGTCTGAGTGTTTCCCACACCTCTATTTAAACAAATACAATTATTGATCTTGTAAAGTAGCAATCTTGCTATACTTCTATATACTATATTTCTATACTGAACAGGAAGACAAATTTAAGTTCTGTAATTTACATTTATCTTACCTCAGGAAAACAAAAGGTCAAAAACTATTATGCCTTTCATTTTTTTAATACAGCTTATGATAAATGTGTATGTAGTAGAAGGAGGTACATACTGCACCTTGCATTGCTGCACTGTCATGTTGGGTTCCGTTGTGTTCTATTTCCATATCTGGGATTCCAGCATCTGAAAGATGTGACACTGAAGATTAATGCATTCCCCTTTATCCTTCTCTCATACATCTTTAGAAGAATATTTATAGCAAACTAAGATGATCAGCAAGTTGCATAACCTCGCATAAAACATTTGGTCTTCACAGAATTTTCAGTAGTAAATCGTTTTCAGAATGTGCAAACATTACTGGTCTCACTGTGGATTATTTTTAATGTGCTTCACATTTGTCTGATGATCAGATAATAATCAACACATGATAATAATGTAACTATAAAATTCTTCTGGAGAATAAAGGCATCTGACATATGAAAAATAAAATGGAAATTAAACTGTGGTATTATTAAACCAAATTTACTGTCTCAGGCAAATACCTGCAAAGTTAGAGAATTAAAAGATACAACCAGTACCAGTCAACATGTTTGCATCCATGTGCACGTGTTTGTATGAGTGTATTATTACAAACAGGGACAGTACCATATCAGCTCAGGTAATTTAAGAGTACTCCATCACCCAAAGGAAAACTACGTATGTAATATATTATGGGAAAGACTTCCAGGTACCTGAGAAGAGTTTTCCAAACGGCTTGTGCTGTTTTTTTCCAAGTTGAGGAGTCTCATAATGATATGCGCTCTTGAACTATTTAATGTCAGACTGATAATACCTCTGTCTGCAGTCCTTTGGGGTGGGGCTGAGGGCTTCAACACCCCAGGGCGTTAAGACAACAGATGCCATTATCCACCTTGTGCCAACAAGGATTAGCATGAAGGGTATGTGATCTGAATCCAGGGTACCTCAAATCCTGGAGAAACATCTGCTTCCCTCATAATACAGCACTTCGAATTTACAGTAGAAAAGAAAATGAAACAAAAAAAAACCAACCAAGAACACCTGAAGGGAGATGTGTGTAGTTTTGAAGTATTGCTGTGTAAAAGCCCATTCCTGATATTCTCAAATAGAGAATAACTGTACTGCTGCTTTCTCAGATCACTCAAGCTGGACAGTACCTGTTGCAAAGATGATGTTTTGCTGGTCACACGCAGCCTGACTGCAGGGCAATTGATTCAAGTACGTGTATGAGTAATGCAGTACGTGAGTAATACATGTGTATGTGTACCTTAGATATATATGTGTATGTGAAATATAGGACTACATACATGGACATCACATAAATATATATGAGCAAATAAATTATTAATTTACATATTTTTTTCTTTAGAAAGTGCAGGTGACTGTTACTACGTAGGGTTTTTCTTGTTCTTGTTTGAAGTTCAAGGCACTGGACTTGAAATCTAAAAAGGTTCTCTCTTTTCAAACCTTTTAGAGTACACTTTGTACGTACGTAAAATGACAAAGTCATCTGTAATAACAGCATCTGTTAAATGAGACAGAGCGTCAGAGTTAAATTAAAAATATTCAGAATAGCCCTTCACATTTTGTTGCCATAAAATTGTACCTGCAATTAAATTGTGGATTAAGATGCTAATGAGCTACCTGATTTGCATGTGCAATCAGATTAGCATGTAAATATCAGCTTTTCACAGGCACCAACATATATATGACTACCTGAGTGTGCCTGCAAATCAAAATGTTAGCAGCCAGGCCGACAGTAGCAGACGTAAAGATCTGTTAATCACATTGCTGGGGTGTTGGTCCCCTTCAATTTGTGGCTTCCAGAACTGCTGAGTACTTGTAAATGTACTGTGATAGGCAGGTGCTTACCAGCAACAACAGCATCTGGGTGAGTGACCTTACTGAGTGTGAGGATTTTAGTTTTCATCTGACATTCATCACAGGGCGCTGGCTGTGCCTGGGGGATCTGACCTGGGCATTTTCCTGACCCAGTACGGGTGATACAAAAGGTCCCTGCTGGCTGTGCCCACTCAGCCTCTGCTGGGAGCCTGTCCCTTAGCACGGCACAATGGCAAGCTGTATATCCATGCCTGAATCACCACTGCTCACTGTCAGAGTGTCAGAACAGCCAGCCAGTTCCTGGGTACAGTGATATGCTGGACTATAAAACCCAGCAGATGAGAATGCCTCTGAAAGATGTTGCTCTCATAGTTAAAGAGTTTATATCTCTTAGGTGTTCCAGCTAAATCACAACTCACAGCCCATTGCAGAGAGCTGCAGTGGCAGTTCAAACAGACAGGCTTGCCCTACCTTTAAAAAACAGCTTGGGTACCCTTGCAACTGAGATCAAAGGCCAAGTTAAACTGATTACTTTCACTCAGCAGTTTTTGCAGTCTGCTTCTGTTATTATGGCTCAGTTGCTAGCAGTAGCCAAACGAGGCAAAGTTAATGTGAAGACTACATGACATACAAACACAGCAGAGACTGAATATAACTCTGATTCATGAGCCTCTGCAGTGACATCAGGATAGGCAAAATGCAAAGACCAACTTTAGCTGCAGAACCTGAAATTAATTAGAACTCAGCTAGATTTAGTCTTAAAGATTCAAACCAACATTCTAAAGTTTGCTCAGGACCACTTTAAGCAGGAGAGGTGAATCCTCCTACTACCCAGAACATAATCAGCCTCTTTATGAAATTAACTGATCTGAATTTGTTTCATATCTGGGAAGTATTCAAAAACTTTGTCAGCTCATAAGGCTGATACATATTTAACAAACTTAATAGATCCTGAGGCTGAGCAAACTTCAGCCAAACAGCTTTTAAAATGAAGCTCAGCAGTTCTCAAAATGAATCTGCTGGGAGAGAAGAGATCAGAGAACCTTAGAAGAACCAAATTTCACATCGTCTTAGCTGGCACTGTAACAGATTTCTCTGGCAATGTATTCAGCACTTCTTGTCATGCCTGTGTAAACTGCTCTATATTTCTCTTGTCACAGACATATTTTTTTTAATTCATGACCCAGAGTACACGGTCTGAAATAGATTTTTAATTATTTCAGGAAAGTGTCTTGCATTTTATTCTGGAATTTGCTTTATGCACTGTTTTAGTTTTTTAACTTAATTAAACATCATTTTATGTTAACTGTGAAAGGCCAACTAAGACATTACCATTTAACATCCTGAGACCGTCACCTGATGTGGCCTGTTTAAGAGCTTGTTCCACTTGTTCTCTTCTCTTTGATTCAAATTCCAAAGCTTCCTGCAATTTTCTCTTTGCCTTTTTTTCTTTCTTCAAGCGTTTCTGAATTGTTGCTGGAATGCAAATATAAGATAAGAATGACTGTTATAGCACAATTAATACATAACAGAGAGAGACTTGTTTCTTAATTTTTGATGTTCAAGAGACAAGTTCTAGATTAAAAAAAAAAAATTGGACACAAATCTGATATAAACAAGCATAAACCAATCCATACCCTGTTCTGAAACAACAGCTAATCTGAAAGAACTTCAAATCTTTTTAATGATCTTAAATCTTATTCGCAGTCTGGAACAGCCCCATTGATGCAAGTCTCCTGACTGGAACTTGGGTTTCAGAGCCAGCTCAGACCCTGAGAGGCTACTGAAAAGCTGAGTTAAATGGGTACCAACTGAAATGAAGATGAAATGCATAGAGAAAGAGTAGTTAGTGATGACTGTGAGTATGTCTGTGGGCAAAACCACTTTCACCTTTCATCACTAGTTCAAGAAAAAAAAGAGGGAAAGAGGAAGAAAAGGAACAAAAGCATTGGGTACATGGTGAGAACCTCTGAGAGAAAATATGGACAAACTTCCCAGGTAGAAAGGAGGTTGAAAATTAGCTTAAAATACAGGCATGTAAATCAAGAACTTTTTAATATTCTCTCCATTACCAATATCTTCTTCTAACAAAAACTCTCTTAAGATCTGTATAGTAACTGACTGATTGGACTAAAAATGGGTAACAATAAAGTATTACAGTGCTTCTCTACAGCTCTGTGTTAGTAGAGCTCAATGTTCTTTACAGTCATCTCGTCTCCCTTCTAGAGATGGAAAGCAGGACAGTGCCTTGACAAAGATCATCCACAGGTCACTGGTACAGCCCTGCAAGATTTGGCAGAAAATGGAAGTATTCCATTTCTGACTTCTGTTCCCAATCTCAATTTTAAACCCAACTATAAATAAAATTAAACCTGTAACTAGAAAACTATACAGCATTAATTGTAGCCAGATGATTCACATGTTCATTGGGAACTGCTGACACTGCCTAAGGTTGTATTCCCTCATCTATATAAATTCAGGCAATAAAACGTACCTTTTCCTTTTAAAACCCTGAATCTTAATTCCGTGTTTAACCTTATCTTTCACCAGCACCAGGTTACCATTTTTTTTGTTTGATGTACTACTGAACCATCCAGTGATGGTACTAGAAAAGGTAGGTTGGACTACCAGACAAAAAAGAATTTGAGCTTAAACATAAATGTCCTGTTTCAAAATGACGTTTACTAGTCTATATTCTAGCAAACGCTCTGTACAGGTATTGTTAAAATGAAAGGTGAATTTACATTTGCAGTATTTCGCAATTCATTTTATTTGTTTGCTTCACCTGTGTGAAGATATCTGTGAATTTTAAATCACAACATTGTGAGAAAAATTGCTAAAAAACATGGAGATGTAATTTTCTGTGCTGACTTGTTTATCTAACTCTTATCAATTTTTACAGACCTGAATTTGTGATTGCACCAGTCAGGGGAATAAAAGGATACCACTGCATGAGCGATCTCTGAAAGATTTAATAAATTATGAATGCCAGAATGCGATCTGGAAACAAAACTTTGGAAAATTGAGTAACCCATGTGGAAAAGTCTATCTGTGACTTTCTATAATAATGTGGATGTCGTGATGACCTGAAAAACAAACAATTCTGAGGATACTGATTATTGGAGAAATTCTTCAAGCCATAAGTCAACCAAGTTTGTGAAGGACTTAAGGTTTTTGTTAAGTTAAATATAACTGTGGAGGTACCTAGTGTTTTGTCTGCCTACACCGAGATTAAGTTTTGTATTACAGAAATACAGCTGTCTCTTCTACACTTACACTGGAGTGATGCAATGATTCTGAACACCCACCACAATTTAACAACTTCTGTAGTATTCACTCACTCCTCACAACTTGACTTGAAGCGTCCTTTGTCAGCTCTTAGTGAGCCTTGGTGCTGCAAACAGGTTCCTCACCTAATTTCAATTCAAAACGTACAGGAAGAGAGTAGTAGGCACTTACATCTGTAGCCTTATCTAGCTTTATCTTTCTGATTTCATGGATGTAATCCAGAAGTAGCTTTCGGCATATGAAGAACTATTTCTCTCCTTTTGATGGAGATTTGAATTTTAAAAAGAAGACTGCCTGCTTTACAATATCATAGCGAAAAATTTAGATTTACCAATTTAATTGCCTATTATTATCAAAAGCTTCTAAAGAGTCATGGTTCTGTCTTAGAAGGCCTCATGTTAGGAAAGCTTTCGTATCTCACTCTTCAGATGGAAAAAAAAAACCCTATGTAGGGTTATTTGTTTCAGATCTTGAATTACAAGAAGTTGCCTATCTAAGTGCAACTATTTGGTTGCACTGAAGTTGTCTAGAGGACAAACTAGCTGATTTAAATACTCCAATTACAGACATATTATCTTTCTCAAAATAAGACTGATCCTCAATGCTTGGAGGATAATAGCAGGAAACAAAAGAAATTAAAGCTGTCAAATGAAGAAATCGGGCTGGGAATACACAGACGGTGTGGTAATAATGCATGTGAAAGCCATGAAACTGAATCAGCTTTCCCTACAGAACCAGCCAAAATGCTCTGCGGCCAGTTGCCCTCCAGGAAATAATCCTTCAGTCACTGTTGTCTGCCTACAGAAAAGTGTGCTTCATTCTGTTTTTATTAAACTTAAATCTTTCATTACCAGTGCTAGTCCACTGCTACATTACACTGAAGTATGAATGTCAGTTAACTGAGAGTCCTCAGTAGTTCCAGCTGGAAATGCCAAAGGGTTACACATTTAATAGGTATCTAAACTCCATTTTTCACTCACTCACCTCTGCTTTGCAGCTCAGCTGTAAGTTGCCTTTCCAAGCTCTCTCTGAGTTCTCTCTCTCTACAAAGCTCCATCTTTAACTCTTTCTTTTCCTGCTGTATCTGCTTTTCCTGGACTCTGGCATTGTCCACAGCCACTTTCAGCAGGCCCTAAAACACACGCAAATGTGAGACCTGAAAACACCATTTTGTTTCTGCAGTGACAAAATTCATCCATTTACTCCCGTTAGAAAAAAAACACCAACAAAAACTTAGGAGCCTATGGACATTGAATGCACCTGGCATTTAAAGTGGTGAAATGTTAAATATGAGCAATTTTGTGGTATAGCTTTTGCACATTCATCCTACTGGTATGGTTTATTACAAATGGAATGCCATATCATTGCTGACCTTGGTCAACTGCAGGGAGAAGCAAAGGAGAAATAATGAGACTGGTGAATTTTAATATGACCATTATTGCCAACTATTAAGTCAAACAGACAATGCATAAAATGTTTCCACAATCGATAATGCCGGAGAATGAAAACCTAGGCATTACATTAAATTAAAAAAAAAAAAAAAAAATAGAATTGCAAATACAAAATAGTTTCTAACTTTCTAAAAGAGTGGCAGAAGAAATACATTTTATCTGTTACGACATAGTCTGGCCCTATAGAGAATAACTTACCTGAATGTTGGTTAATAGCGTTTCAACTGATGAAAGACCATCAGCAAAAAGAAATGGCGCTGGAAATCCAGGAGGCAAGGCCTGTCCAGCCAGTTGGACTTTATCTAAGGTTGGTTTCATTATTGGAATGGCAATCTGGACCTCTTCTGTAAAGACAGGTGGTTTAAAAGCAAGATCAGAAACTATTGGAAATATAGAGGTCAAAGAGATTTTTAGGAACTGTTTCCCTGGAAGTCAGAATACAAGCAGATCAGTGAAGCTGATATCGTTTTGGTCTTTGGGCAGCCATGGTTATTACTAAGGCAAGTTTGCAAAACAATACAGAGCAATAATAAATATACTTAAGGTTATAGCATCGCTCTAATAGAGTACAGATCATTATATCTCAAATTCTACAAAATTATACTACCGAATTATAACAGTATTATGCAGTTCATTAAACCTGAATGACTTTTCTTCATTCTATCATGTTTGCTATTCTGCAATGAGCATTTTTAGTCACTATAACCTTGAAAAAATTCTAATCAAGAAATGTACCACATCTCTTTACCCTTTTTAGCATTATCCTTCCCATACTCAGCAGTAAATAATCCCCACTGAGTCATCCCCTCCTGCTCATCCAACACTGGCTCTGGCTGTCAGAGAGGCGTCCGTGCAGACTCCCCTGGCAGGTGCCATGCTGTGGTCAGCCCCGCCATGGGCAGCGGCCAGAAGCACCACGCCGAGTTCTGTCTGCTGGGGGCACAGAGCTGATGGTGGGGGCACAGGAGCGGCTGGGGAAGAGTGGGCTGAGCCATGCTCTTGTGATGCACTGCCTGCAGCTGGATGGATGCATCCCTGGCACACTGCATTACTGGGACCCAGTAACCCGGTAACTTCCCATTCACACTCCCTGTTTCAGTTTGGTCAAGTTGCTAAAAATCAAGCTGTGCATGGACAGCAGAAATGTGCACTCAGAAAGAAGCAAATGCATTAACAATTATTTTCCCAAAATCCTTTACATTTTGTCACAAATCCTTACTAGCACGAATCTGAACTCAATTTTTAACAGGGCAACTTAATGCTATTTTAGGACAATAATACATGTATCTCCTTCTCTCAGATCCCCCCTTTGTGTACTACTTCTCCAATATTCACTTTAAGCATCAAGTTTACTGCTGAAAATGATGACATTAAAATCTACTAGCAGTCTTCAAAGCCAAACTCTGTTCACTTCTTTTACACTATGATGTTAAAAAATATTGGTGTAACATTCCAGGGAATTGCAGTCCATATATAATATTTTCCTTTAATCTCTCTGGCACTTGCAGAAATCATGAAGAATACCTGCTCACAATTGCTTTTTAGTAAAGCTTGAAACTAATCTATTGTCCGTAAGTTCATGATGCATGTGTTTTCTAAGGGCAGCCGCACAGCCAGTCCGGATAGTTTCATTTGTCAAGTGTCTCGGTCATATTAATTCCAGGATTTACAATTAGACCACACCACATCAAAAGGCCTCCCTCCCTTCTCTCACCTCTCTTATTTCAAAAACAACTCCGAAAGAATCTGACAACAACAAATTAAGCCCTGGTGTCTCTGCAGCAGTAGAATTATCTGCTTTAACAACCTCCAGGAGCACCCAGTGAGCTGCAAGTGCTTTTTGCCGTGTCTCAAAAACACACCCACTGACAACAAAGCTGGGAGCATTACCAGATTCTAAGTATTCTCTGAAATCTCTGCTGAGGGAGTATTCTGTTTTCACCCTATGAGTTCATTAAATGGAACAACTTCATAATGATTCTGCAGCACTAATAACAACAAAAGCCACTAACCTCTTCACAGCTACCGTTTTAAAGCTGTGCTCATGTAAATTAAACGATCCTTTAAAAAAAAAACAAAACAAAAAAACAACTAACCCCACAAAACGGTCCGGCAACATACTCAGACCACAGAGGCTGTGATGGCTGAGATACACCATCTGTCACATATCAGTATTTTTTATCAGTTAGTAGTTTTTAACACGACCTGGTTAGTTGTTGCATGTGATGCTACACGGAAATAATACCTAAGTCATGGAGTCACAACAGACCAAACAGAAGTGGCATTTGCAAAGGAAAGTAACGCATGAAGTATGCATAATGGAAACCCATCGCTGCTTTAAAATCTCTAGAAATCTCTACTATTTGAAGATGAAAGTAATAACATTAAATTGGCTGAAAGGAAAATTACTATTGACTGTGAAGACAGGTTGCATGGTCTATGGTTTGTAATGTTACTGTACAGCAGATTGAAGTTTCAAAATAGTATTACTCTTCTTTAAAGGGATAGACACAGCTAAATTAGGTGCTGCTTGCTGCAGTGAGGATCAAATGCAAAAAGAATCATATTTCATCAGACCTAGTCAACACCAGGAAAATAAATAGAAATATAAGAGGTATGCAGGCAATGATTCATTTTGATAATCTGGCCCAAGAGAGACACATAGAGACAGCACACAGATCTAAGCTTCCACCAAAAGACAAATAGGACACAGAGGGTGGGAATTGGGATGACAGTGTAGCAGAGGTCACATCGATTTTCAGCAGCAGTTTTCACACAGATGAGATAACCCTGGACTCTATTTGGCCCATTGTTCATATCCTACCTGTCCCACAAGCAATAAATTTCCAAGTCCCAGAAAAAGGGCAGTAAAGAAGAAGGATTCTACTTACGACTTCTTATGATTAAGTTTTTGTGCTAACCAAACATGCTTTGCAGACCAAGGTCACATTGCATGTTAAAGTCTGTAATAGCTGAAAACTAGAAGAAGCATATTATGTTTTAGCCTATATGGGTGGAAACTGTCAAACCATTCATCATTTTTTTTTCTGATTGAAATCACACTCTGCAAAGATGAATGATAAATGCATTAGAAATCTATTTCAATCTTGTAATAGGTCTTCACATCTGAATGGTGTCTACATCCTGCCCACATTTTGAGGAAGTGCACAGTTAGGCAGAAATTTATTAGCTAGGCTTAAAAAATTCTAATTGGGAAAGCAATTAAAAATGGCATGTGTTGGAAGCATTTTTGAGGACTGCTCAAGTACATCAAGTACATCTCTTCAGTAGAAAAAAAGATGTTGATTTTAGTGTTTTGATTTTAAAGAACACTGAAGATATAAATGCTAAAAGCAGCACTCACATACAGTACAACAGAATAAACAAGAAATAAAGCTAGGGCAAATACTGTCTTACCAAGGACACAAACAACCTTCCTATTTATTGAAGCAAAGTGGGAACTACTTTTATTGAGCTTGTTTGTTAAACCTGCCATGCTTTATAATAGCATTCAGGAATCCATTTAGAGTGCAGTCTTTTTATTTTAATTTCTTGCTGGCATCCAGGTGAATAGACGAAAGCAAGAATTATATTGCAGAGCAAAGAAACACACTAACAGTGAATGGAATTATTATCCCAGGAAAGTGCACGGAAAAGTGCTAGAAAGTTTCCTGTTGTTAATGCAGTATACCAAAGTATTTCATTTTCCATCTTCTGCCTAAGTTGCAGAAATCAGGATTGGAAAATTAAGCATCATCCTATGGACTAAATGCAGCACTGGGAACATGAGTAACACAAATTGCTCCCTGCGTGACACTGCACAGCCCTAACCAACAGGCAATTTTATTTACCAGCTGGTTTATGTTCTTTCAAAAGACATGCTTTTAAATCCATCATTCAGATACCTGATACACTTGACATGACACATCCCTCTCAAAACAAGCTAGAAATATTAAAGCTGAAATTTACATATTACTAAATGCTACTTAGATCATCATGTTATTTTCTCACGTACATTTCAAAACATATTTGTCTGGAGGCCTTACGTGTAAGCCTCACCAAAATTAGTTTACAGAACATAAGATATAATGCATAAAATAAATATATGATAAGGAAAAAAGCAGAACGAAATTCATAAGAAATTTAGTTATTAATCTGTTCGTTACTCATCACGACATTTGATCTCAGAAAACCTTCAGCCAGCATTAATAATACGGTTTTGGACACAGATGGCACTGGGATCATTCTAGATCTCTGCCTGTGGCACACAATTTAGAAAGCTAAGGACTAAAAGGGTTCATCATAATTACAATTCTTGAAGCTTCATATTTGAGTGATGGGGATTATATTAAATGGTCCACAGTTAGAAAAGAACAGCCTAGGTGCTCCAGTGGACTGTTTTAACCTTTAATAAAATAAAAAGGTATCCCCACCACCAGCTGAGTCGTATGTACACTCATCTTTCAAAGTAAGACATTACATTTCTATCTGAAATGGCATTATTTGCCCAAAGTTCTTACCAAATTATCTAATTGATAACCCCTGAATTCCAGTTGTATATCTGCTTCACAAAGACAGTGACAGCAGAATTAAGGCTAAGATAGCAATTTTTGATGGCAAGAAGCAGTTCTCCAAAAGAAATGAGATTTTTTTATTTTAAACTCTGGCAGCTTTTACACCGCTTACCTAGAAACTAGAATAATTGTTTTCTTTTGCAGAAAGGCAAGTATTTAGAACTATTTAAAGCCTGATAACCTGCGAGTCTGTGGGACAGGACCGACAGTCTTCTGTGCCTTAATCCCTCTGAATTCCTCCATAGTGCTCTGTGTGCCTTTCTCTCCCTCACCGCCTGCTCCTCTGCTGGGGGCCGAGCCCTCCTCTTCATTGCTGAGAAGAGAGACCTCCTTCTAACTTGACACCCATCAGACTTCGACATTTACTGCTTTAACCTTGTGATTCAGGTGCCAAATTTGAAGTCGCTGCTGTTTTTCTTAATTACAGCCCCTGAATGAACAGGGTCAATGAATGCAACTGGGAGATTCTGACTGCTGCATTGCGCTAGCTTTAAATCAGACTACTTCATTTTCCAGTGCTTGATACAACTCGATCGCATACAAGCAATTGTCACTACAGAGCTTTGCTGTAAAGAAACTTCCCTTTAAAAATAGTATCTAATCACTATACATGCATTTCCAGACTGCCTTAAAAGCTTTCAGAAACTCACAAAACAGTAACACCAAATGCCCTCTGCTTCACAGTACCTGCTTCCCAGCTGGTTCTCACCCATGCAATCTGAAATCAACCGATTCTGTCCTGAAGCGTTTAGTAACGCCTTTCCATCGTT